ACCGGAACCTGTTTCAGTTTGATCAAATTCCGGTCGGAACGAGCATTCGTCGATGCTGAGTAAACTGTTCGTCGAACAGGTCAGAACATCCGCTCGCATTCGCTCGCTAGTCTACGTAAGGATTATTTTTTCTACGTCTATCGCGTTTTTTTTTGAACTTTTACAACGCTGCTGTACGGAATATATATGACCCATGATTCCAAATCTTTCCTAAATTTCGTGATGAAATTTATCAGTATGTAATTCGGATTTATTATTTTTAAAGTAAAAAGATAATTTATATTCAACGTTCCTGTGATACATGCAAGTGCGCGAAGTGTGAAATAAAAATATACAGTGAAAATAAGCTTTGTACGTAAACGTAAATTTTTCGAAGATTATTATGCTAGGGGTATGTTTGTTTTCTTTTAGAAACTTTCTTAAACTATCTCAGTCAGAGTTAAATAAAAACACCATACAATAAAACGATTTATATTAATATATTATACAACGATATTATATTAATATATTACTCTCTTCAACGTGTAAAAATATTTAAGAAAAAAAAAAGAGAAAAGAAACGAACGCGCCAATATTTTTTCGACCCATTGTAAATACACGTGTGGTGAACGAATCCGTACTTTAATCCATGTAATTTTTAGCGCCCGTGTATTTGAATATCCCTTCAACACATGTATTTATAATCCATATACATGTTTATTAAAAACACGAATGTTTAATTCCTTGATACAAGCGTCGCGTGAACATGTATATTTTAATGTACGTTCGAAACCGTAATCTCTCATATTTGTTTGCAAAAAAGGAAAACCCTTCTGATACATAGAAGATGACTATATACTGCACACTGTAAATCCAACGAACTGATACTGTTGTGCAAAAATAAAGCAGAAGCTAAAGTATTCGTAAGTTCGTAATTTCATTTCATTCTTCCGGATTCGATAATTTGGAAGAGTAGGTACGAAGAAGAAGAAGGTAGAAGACGGAAACGACAGTTCTTTTCTCGTCGGGCAACCATCGATGGACCCTCGAAGACGGTGTAACCTCGGACGACATAAAACAGAGGACTTTATTTAGGGAAGGACGATCGGTGTCATCGTCTCAAAGATATCCACCTCCCTCGTAACGCGAGCCATCCGCTCCAAAACTGCGGGAATATCAATAGAGGGAATTCACCGCGGTAGATGGAGTAAGGGAACGTGTTTCCACGAGGTTCTCCGGCTTCCAGGCATCCCGAATGAATTTATACGGCGACCCTGGCTCGAGAACGGAATTTTCAATGTGGCCTGTACTCTTATTGCCGCTGATATATTCGAGAAAACTTTTATTCGGCATCGTAAATTATCGCAATATCGCTCGCGGAGTTTGGCTTTGAATCAGACTTTTCTTTCTTCGAGAAATTGCGTTAAGGAATCGTTTCATCGATAACGATCGCGACATCTTCCGACGATATATTCTCTGGCACGATGCTTGATGATTTATTGGACCATTTATCGTTCATGGTTCTTTCCAACTTGTGTCTGACGATTGTCTGTCTGTATTCACTGACAGAGCGAGTTTCTTTAGGAGAAAGATTATTCCAGAGAATTATTAAGTGAAGAACCAACGTGTTCAATTGTCTTTCAATTGAAATTGTACAAAATCGCGAAACAGAGCTCGCAAAGCCGGAGATTATCAACTGCCGTTTAATGCAAAGGATTAAAAAACTTGAAGTAAAAAATATTCCTATCGATTTGCGATGTGGAAATACATTATGCGAAATGAAGCGTATGATTATTCGATTATTTGGAAATATTTAAAGCCGAGTTGCGCCATTTCTGTAATTGCTACAGTTTTTGAAAATCCGTGCGCGCTGCATTTTAGACGGTGCATTTTTATTTGGAAATCAATCGGAACTTTTCGCTTTAAATGTTCCAGTCCTTTGCAACGATGGCGACCAGCAAACGAAATAAAATTTCAAAGCTGCTGGAACAACTCCGACATTTTGTGAACTGGCGGAGAAAGAAATCGAAACGAATAAAGCTGAAAATTTTCACTATACCGTGTCTAGAAAAAGAAAAAAGAAAAAAAGAAAAAACATTGAAACTTTTCATTTGACGAAATTAAAAATATCGTAGAATATAAAGAATTCGCGGAGTTTGGCCGAGCGAGAAAGGAACAGCGTAAACCGGTCTGTGAAAGCCCGCGAAACTCACAAACCGATTCAACGATTTTGTCTGCGTATTTAACTCCCACGATCTCGGTTCTGTTGTATCGAAGTTTGTGCCCGAGCTTCAACGGTATGCAGATATCGATAGTAAAAGTGGGGCGAAGTTTTACGGGCCGACGACTCCTCGTGAAATTACTCGGCCGCTTAAAGTTCCTCACGTTTTTCCTCGTCGTGACGATGAGCTTCCCTTTCGATTTCTTTCGAGGAAGTCGGCGGACTCGATAGATTGTTTTGTTTATCATCGCCTCTCTCCCGTTGCTAATCTTTTTCATATAGAATTGTACGGAATTATGTCGTAAGTTCGTCGTAATCTTCCTTTTGTTCAAATGCCAATACTGTAGGCTAGTCGAGTGCATATTTCCAATTAATACGTGCTCAATTTCGTGTAAAATGTGTTTGACAACATGTACGATGTAAATTCGTCTTGTACGAAATCGACTATATACGTAGTCGAACTTGTAAACTAAGGAATTTTCTACAACTCTAATCACACACTAAATCAATAATCACAAAAGTAAGTAATTTTCTGTCAAATGTGTATAACGTAAATCGGTTAAATAATATAAAAAATATGATGTATGGAGTGCTATAGAATTTTTTTTACCATGTTTCTATTGTAAGATCATTCTGAATTTTTCTGCAAATTCGTTATCTCCTTTTTTTAAATTTCAAAAATCTTGGACAGGAGTTTGTTTCTCGTATCAAATATCGTAACAAGAATAGCGTGTTCTATGTATTTTTGTACCTTCAAATTTGCCATAAACGCATGCAAAACTACAGTCTAGTTATTAGTGTGACGTTGACTGACGTCTCTATTGGACACGTACCGCTATTCACAGAGAAACTAATAAAACGAATTTAGCGATCTTTTAACTTTTTAAAATTCGGGAATTATCAGAGATCGATACAATAAACTCATGAAAAGACTACCAAAAAAAAAAAAGGAAAAAAGAGTGAAGAAAATTCGAGAAAGGAAGAGAAAACGAAAGGATCGGCCTTCCACGCCGCATACTAATGAAAACATTCGTGGAAACGCTTCTCGAGTGAATGTACACGCGCTGAAGATAACTGTCTTAATCTCGTTTCGTAAAATTAAACGAAACAATTCTCGCAAAAAAGTTTCTCACGGACGATCCTCGGACGATTGAAAGAGAGATCAGGATAAAAATTCATTTCGAAGAAACGAAGCAATGAAGGATCTCATCGACCATGGGAAACGAACTCGAAATTTCTTAAGCGGACAAAATAGTCTAAGTCGAAGGTTAGGAGGTGGCGATTAAAGCTCGAGGCCTCGTGGAAGACAGAAACAGAAAGATGTCGGATCGTTCGTCTTAATAAAGTGCGTTGAAGACACGCTGTTCGGAACGATTGACTTATGGCTAGTCATCCGAGCAGACTGCACCCCCTCTTACGACCTATTTCCACTTGCTTCTTTCCCCCGTGGTACGAACGAACAGGCCACTGTTCCGCCGATATTCAGAAGGGTTCCTCGAGTCCGTAGGTCGTTAACCCTGCCCAACGAGTCCATCAATCGAGCGAGGGTGGCTGGCTAACGACGCCGAACATTCGTCATCGGGTGAATCCTTCTTCTTCGATCCTCGATCGTGCCTCGTTTCGTCCTCCTTTCGACTCCTTTATCTCGGCCCCGAGTGGTTTCTCTTCGATGGCCTCGGATAACGGCCGTGCCTTAAATATTTATCGTCGATTGAAGAGGCAAATTGAAATCAACGAAAATTGAACGGACTAATAAGAGTGTAAAGTTCTCCGATTCCCCGATCTCAATTTTCATCTTTGATCTTTAACCCGCGAATTCATTGCGTCCGTCGAGTCAAAGACAGCTAGAGTCGTCAAATTTCTCAATCACGTTTTACGATGCAAGATTATCTCGTTAGTATTTAATTTTTCTAAATTTTATACTCCGTCGGAATACGAAAATCGAATTCAATTGTTCCTGCTTTATTACTATACATCCCAAGCGAAATTGAAGGAATGAAATGTTACACAATAGATTTATTGATTAACAACAAATGCATTGAGTACAAAATAAAAATATGGAATATTTTAAATGTAGGAAGAGCAATATACACGAAAGAAAATTCGAAACGATCTTGGAAACCGATCTGCAATACTTACTGAGGGTTAACGGGAGAAATTAACGACACGTCTTACACGCGAAAGGAATTACTTATTGAACGGCGTTCTTTTTGTTCGTCGTCTTTCTTCGATCCTTACTTTATTAATAGACGCCTGGCCGAGCCTTGTACATTCCAGCTTCGACTCAACAAAAATCAAGTGACGCTGGCCACGTTATTTGCATGAATAAACAATTATTCTCGACGATTATTTTTAAGTGGCGGGGATAAATATCGGTCGATAAATATTCAAGATTCGTCGCGAAGGACCCTCTCTTTTTCTCTTTCGTTCGGTCAGGCGAACCTAATGGGTCACCTAATGATTTACCATTTGTTTCTTGTTCACGAGTTTCCGGTTTATATCTCGTTGCATTTTTCCGTGCAGAGTGGGAAAAGAGTTTGTTGTAAACTTTAAATTACAAGCATCAGCCGCTTTAGAACGCCCAAGTAGATCCAGTCGAATTTAACACAACATTCGCTCTGCTATAGCTAGCTCTCTCTCTCTCTCTCTCTCTCTAAACTAGCTGAACACGTTACGCCTTCTACACTCTCTCACGTAGAAACTCCAAACTCTTGCTGCAAAGCTGTTCTGTCTTAAGAAGCAACACGTCATGTACACATAAACCGCTGGAACCGCCAGTTAACCAGGCTCAAATTTATCCATGTTCCCAGCATCTTTAACTCGCAAATATAATAACTCGTGCACCATCGCGAGACCTTGTCAATTCGACAGCATTTTACCTCACTACACACGTATTTCGATATGCTTTCCGACAGAAACGTCCGTGTTGCCATCAGCCTCGTCGGACCTGGACAAGATCCAGCAGCCGGTCAAGGTCGTGCTCTCCAGCACTTGTCACCACGCCTACAACGCCTGCAAGTGAGTATAAAATTTTCACTCTTAAATCTCCCGATTTATACTGTGGGAATGCAGCGTCCAAAGAGCTGAACTTATCAAAAAGCAAATACAAATTTTTCTTGCCCCCTAAAAGTCGGCAGACTAATTAAACCGGATATCCTGCTACTGCGTCTACACTTTCATTCAAAGATTGTAGCCTCAATATATAAAGTTTATATTCTTATTTTGTATTTATGTAGCTGTGTTAAACTTCAACCGAGGTTTCCAAAGTTTAAATTTAAAAAAAGAAAAGAATCTCCCAATCGATATGGTACTACTTTTAGAAAGAAGAAAGCATGTTTCCTCGTCTGAAAATAAATTTCAAGAATAATCCTATCGACTATCTTATAAATGTAAATTTTCGAAACTCTCTGGAAACTTGTAACAGAAGTTGCTTTGTTTCGCTAATCACGAATAAGCACTCGCGTTTCTTTAACGCGACGAAGAGAGTTTCAGTTCTATTCTTCAGTCACGCTCGAAGCGATCATTCTCTGATAATTACCCCTATGGATCGAACCTAATCTCGAAAGTTTCCAATACGTTGACGCACGATCGTCTTTGTGAATTCCAGAAACGATCCCGAGTGCAGGGTGTTGCTGGAACCGGTGTTGAACCACTGCGAGTCGACGAGCTGCGCGAAGAACGAGTGCATGGAAGCGTTGCAGAATTTCTACAAATCTGCGAACCACAAGCACTCGGTCGAGATCGCGTTCTGTCTGTGCAAGTGAGTCGTATTAACAATACAACAATAACTCGGCCAGGTCCGTGGGATGGAACGTCCCGGAAGTTCGTGCTTCGAAACTAGAGAAATAGAAAATTCGACCGGTGGTCTCTTGTTCGTGCGACGATCACTGAAACATAACGAGATGAAAAATTTTATAAATCCGCGACACGCAGTCCCGTGTGAAAATCATTTCCCGCTCGAAGCTGCTTCGGCAGGGAAAATACACTAACGAATCAGTGTCGGCGATGAAAAATGAACGGAAAAAAATAATAATAAAAAAAAAGGACCGAACCTGACCACTTGTCGAAGCACAACGAAATTTCGTGACTCTGCAAGCGTAAAATTTTTTATTTATTTATTAAAACAAGTCTGTTCTTAATGTTGACACGGAATTAATATCTTTGCTCGATAGTCGACGACGCAACACCTGCGTCATTAACTGTGATCAATGTTGGCTATTTCAATCGAAAAAGTCATTTTTAACAGCGAATAAAATCTCTAAAGCACATAATAGCTAACATATAAAAATATGCTGTGACGTATATGATGCGACAATCGATGGAAGTGTGTGGTGGGAAAATGATTATTGCGTAGTAAATGACGTATATGTCGTAATATATTTTCTCAATAAAAATTATAGTTTTATCATTGATAAGAAGGAAAACATTGGCTTCTAGATCTAGAGTTTAAAGAGAGACGCTATAGAAAGAAGAAATATACATAGAAAAAGTAATGGAAAAGTACACATAAACGTGTGTTTATTCGTTCATTCATTCTTTTGCCCCGATTCGCGAATTCATACATACTAATTGCATCAGAATCAACATACTTACAAATTGGCCGAGGAATACAAGAAATCATATTAAAACACGCTTATTTTCACACGCTGTTCCAATGCCAGTCGAACTGTTGTTAATTAATAAGAAGACAAATATCAATTTCAATCGAGGAATGGCGGCAGGTAAAATGAGATGAAAGAAATCGAACCGGTATCGCGTTCGAGTGTGTATGATGCATCGCACCGCGGCGAACAGGAGTCTTCTATTCGAAACGATATCGAATTAATCGGAAACAATTAACTCGCGGGTATCACAGGTGGAAGATAAATTCGGCCGCTAATTAATTTCGTGCTTGATTAATGAAGGATCGAGTAACCGCAGCCAGCGAAAATATTTCATAATCGTGGTTTCACCGTGTGCTAATCGCGACGAGTCAACCGACGAGAATGCAACGATCTTCGACGTACGTCCTCTCGTGTATATCTTTAACCTTTTTTTTTTTTTTTTT